GTGTGTGAACGAGAACGACATTTGCAGACAGGGAGGCACAAGTGTCTGACTTTCAAAGGGAAATTCAAACCTTTACATAATCAAGTGTACGAGTGGGCATGTACACACCTACAACAAGTGTGCGACATTCACACAGTTGCGTCTCCAGTTCTGCCGTACACCCCAAAAAGTTTAACATTTCACATAGACGGTGTCCGACGGTGTCGTCGGCCCAGGAGTACAAAGAGATGTGAGCGCGAGAGTGCGAGAGAGAAAGAGACCGAATGAGAGACAGGGCGAGAGAAAGAGACAGACAGAGAACGGCAAATGTGAAGGAATGGGGACGGTGTTGCGTTACGGAGTGACGCTAAAGCGCTCGGCCACGCCACGGATGTGGTTTCGTCGTCCTGTGGGCAGACGTGCCGGCCGGGCGCTGCTCAGGGAAGGCCAGCAGAGCGCCACACAGTCGAATTTCGGTGATTGATCTGGCACGCCTATCCCGCCTAGCAGGTGGTTTTCACCCCTCGTTGGGCTCGTATAGAGGGACGTGGAACGGGGCCGCCAGCCAGAGCAGCTAACTGTGCCTTACCGGCGGCGCCCTGATCGGGTTACACCTGCGACCACCATGTGTCCTCATGGGGGCCCTCCCAGGTGCCCATACAAGTCTGCTGTGCTGGTGCTGCTGGTCCTCGCCGTGAGGACGGCTTGGGTCCTTTCACGCAAAGTCCAATGCCCTTATTATGGGATCTCCTCGTATCGTAGGAACTCCATCCTTTCGGCGGTTGATAATGAGGATTGGTTTTGTGGTGAGCGGTCGAAATCGTGAGCGCTCGTGCACTGGTCACTGGTGAAACTAATGTGACATGTGTCACGTTACAAAAGTGTGACATCTTTCCATAGCATGTCGCATGTGGTGTGAACGTATTTTTTGGTCACGAGCTCGACGCCTGCGAGACTCAGGGTAGGCCACCCCGTAATACACGTATGCACTACAAGGTAGGATGTTGCCTACCTGACGGGCGCGAAGAGAGATAGCAGAGGCGCGGACGGACTTTCGTAAGGTTACTGAACACCGCAAACGCCCTCTTCGTTCTGTACCCGAAAAATTCGTTCTGTTCCACTAAAATGTCTTTCTGTTGTGAAAGCACACCTAGATTTCCATGAATGATTATTTTTGGGGCTACTTTTTGGTCAAGCTTCTCGTGTCGGTAGTCGGGAGGAAATCTAAACATAAAGAACGAGAGGCGCAAAGAGCAGTCTCTCGCTCCCTTAAGAGCACAATTCCACTCCTGTAATCTTCCTGAAGAGGAATATAAGGAGCGAGAGAGTAGGGGGAAGGGGCGATGCGGTCACGGCGGCGCGAGCGTGCACACCCGGCAAAATAAGCTCATAAAATAAGCCACACGGCTTGATCGTAATATTCAGACCTAACCTAACCCCAACACAAACGCTGAGGCCGCCTCACCCGACGATATCCGGGGCTCTAGCCGGAGCTGAGCCGAGCTGAGCAGCCAGCCGGGTGCATCGGAAAGAAGCTCAAGTGGGCAATAACATTGGGCCGAGCGGCGGGCGGCGGGGTGAGAATGGGGGAAAGGGGGAGGTGGATATCGGAGAGAGAGAGAGAGAGAGAGAGAGAGAGAGAGAGAGAGAGAAAGAGAGAGAGAGAGAGAGAAGGGGGGGGGGGCTCAGCAGGAGCATACCATAATATTTGGTGTTGGCGGAGCGTCAGTGAGAGCGAGGCGCGCGAAGCTGCCGGCTGGAAGGATGAGATGTTGTGTAATAGCAGCCCTTCCATAGCCACCCTTGCCACCCCCAACCCGTCCCCGCCCAGCCACGCCTCTTTCAAAACTCTCGGCTGAAGTTTTCATCCGCTTGCCCCCGTGAATAACGCAACCAGGCTCAGCCAATCCGTGGCTATGACGCCATGGTATGGACTCGACAGCCGGCCGGGGATGAGAAATTCCAAAGCACTTTGGGGTTGGGGGCAATTTGGCGAGCCGTCAAACATCAAGACGAGAAGACGGAAGTCCCCAAAATTACCTAAAAGGGTTTTGGGGGCAAGAGAAGCTATATAGTGTGACTGAATAAGTAAGATGAAGTATAGTAAGTAAAATTGAGAAAACGAGCTTGCAGACAGATGAGGAAAATAGACGCCTCCCAGGTGAGACTCTGTCCTCTGCTTCTCTCGCTCGCTCGCTCTGTCTCTCTCCCCTCGTTTCTCAGCTTTCCTCTCTATCTAAGATCCGCCATGACTGCTAGCTGGTCTTTGATGACGCAGTCGTTTCTTTTGGCTTCTATTCATTCTTTTTTCTGTTTCTTGCCCAGAAAAAAAGGTGCTGCGGAGAGATGATGAAAACAGCAGAAGTAAGCAGAGGGGTGGCTGGGGGGGGGGGGGTCAAAGCCGAGGACGTTACCTTGGAATGTCATTTACAAGTGATGAGCGCCCCTCGTTACAGGTTGTTTGGTGGGGAGAATATTTTACTTGTAGCGGAGAGAGGGGAAATTGCCAGTGGCGGACTTAATTGTAATGGGCCACCCACTACTGCCGGCAGGCGCCAGGTCGAGTCTCACGGAGGTCGCCCGGCGCGAGCCGCCTGGCCTGGGCCGCCCCGCCCCGCCAGCCGGTAGCCCCTGCGGAACCGAGCATAGGCAACCCGACCGACAGGAGAGTCCGACAAGTCGCGGAGAGCGCAGGCGCCTCCCCCATACTGCGTATGGAGGAACTATGAATTCACGTCGATGTAGATGATCATTTAAACGAATGCCGATTCGTACACATGTTTAAAAAATTTAACTCATTCGGTAATCCGGAAAAATACTTAAAATCGATCATCACAAGAGTAAAATTGACTCACGATAGTCAATTTACGTCAGTTGTAGTACACTTGGAATTCTAGTGTTAGGCTTTTCTAAAATAAATTTGTGAATACTGTTATGCACGCCCCGCAGAAAGCATTGTCGTGTGCGGATGTCGGCAGGTTACCCGCAGCCCAGGTCTGATCTAGGTGGCAGACGATAGCCCGGGGTGTTGTCGCAATAGAGCCGTTATTCCGAGGGTGGCCTGGCTGGGCCTGGCCACGACCCCGTACAAGGCTCGGCGCTCCGCCGCGCCTGCATCCTCAGCAAATTTGGGGCACGGCAGGATTTACGTTGATGTGAGTGCGCAAACATTTGCCTTGGCATAACCTAGGATAAACACCCGGAAAGGAGAGGCAGCGGATCAGAGAGCAGTGCGGGAGAGACGGGAAAGGGAGGAGGGGGGAAGGGGTGGTGGGAAGCCCAGGGGGTGAGGGAGGAGCGGAGCAGGGGGAGAGGCTTCCTCGAGAGGGCAGGGAGAGGCCGTGCTCAGTATTCGCATATTTTCCGTACAGCGCTTGCCGCATCATGCCCCAGCGTGGTCTGCACTAAACTCTACGCCCGAAAGAAAAGGGGAGGGGGGTGAGGAAAGGGGAGGCTGTAGAAGAGGGTGTAACGAGAGGTTGAAGTACACCACGCTTCACCTTTTGAATGACCTCTGGCTCAGAAAAATGAAGATCGAAATTTTTATTTTACGTCCTTGGACAATAGTAGATGAGAGATGAGAGCAATGATAGGCTCCCCCAGTTTTATTTGAACTAAGTCTACTCCCAGACACACCCAGACATACACCCATCCTCTGGACACTATGCCCTGCCCCCACTGCACCTCCACTCTCCGCGATTCTCCCCCATTCCTCTGTCACCTCTCCAGCAGCAGCACTTCTTCATTCCCCCGGCGAAGACAATATTAGACTCTCCGGCCAAGGAATGGACGCGGCGCGAGCAGTGAGCACTGGGAGAGAGGGAGAGAGGGAGAGAGGGAGAGAGGGTGGCAGCAGCCCAGGCGTGTCACGGCGCAGGGGGTAAGAGGGCCACTTTTATGTTTACAGGAGGAAAAAATATGGAGATCCGTCTTTCAAAGTCCTTGCTCCTCCTGCCGTCCCTCCCTTCCCCCGGCGCGCGCCTCGGCCTCCGCGAGTTCCACCGCCTTCACTTCACCTCGCCGCGCTCCTCTCTCCCGGCCTGAGGGTGAAGGGGTTTGGGGGGTGGATATGGGCCTGCTGGAGGCCATCTCTTTTCAGCTTGAGAGGGCGGACCTGCGGCCCCGCCGCCGAGCTGTCCTGTGAGGGATTCTCTCGGGTCTGGACTGTAATCCTTGACCCGCCTTTTCCACCTGCCTCCTGCCTACGAACCGAGCTCCGAACGTTGGGTAAAATCGTTACAGCGTAACTGAAAAGTAGTGCGTCGACGTAATGTCAAACTTTGGCCATTCTTTGGCGGAATGTCAAACTTTCTACATCTTCTTAGCCGAGGCTAGAATATAGATTGTGTAACGTAGTAATTCGCACTTTACAGTTTTTCGTTTACCGAATGTGTGGGTGGCGCCAGAGAAGAAGTTCACAAAACCGTATAAGGAAGAAAAGCTTGTGCGCTGTTGTGTAATCAGAAGCTGATTAATATTAAGTGTGCGAGCAGCGCCGCCCTGAGGGCCCTGCGCCCCGCCCACTTTGAGCTCACCTTTGGCCGGCCGGGGACTCATCCCAGGCCAACACGGCGGCGGGCGAGGCTTAGCCAAACGCAGCGCTGTACCCTGTGCCATGCCTCCGGGCGGCCGGGGGCTGGTCCACGAAGCAAGGGCTTTACAAGAAAGGAACGGGGAGCTGTACCGAGTTTCCGCTAATTCATCTCCCCCCCCCCCTCTTCACCCGTTCCTTTTCCTCGGCCAAGTACAAGTGCACGAACCACGAAGAAAAAGCAAACGCGTGACCAAGTGCAGCTGCTGTGGATCTATTTTCTACTGTAGAGCTGTAGAGACGAACGTTGGGTTTGAAGGGACACGGAGGAGGGGTATGTAAACCACACGGCCACACGACAGTTAGTTTTAGTTGTCACAGTGTATAATCGGTTCGGGGGCATTTCCGCGGCGTCCGCCACCACCACCGCCATCGCCATCGCCATCGCCACCACCACCACCACCACCACCACCAATCGTGTGTACTGTACCTTGACACGTGCTTGAAGGACGCCCCCCGTACGGCCCGTGGCGCTCGCCTGACACCGGGCCCCTCCTGCTCGGGGCTGTAACTGGCCACATCAGCGAGCCCACACGTGTGCCAGCCCCTCACCTGAGGCGCGCCTGCAACAGAACCAGCAGAACGTGACAATAGTTGTAGTGCTGCCGGCGCAGCTCTGGCGCAGCTGGCACTGGCACTACACAGAGGCGCGCCCTCGGCGCAACTCTGCAAACGGGCAAATAATACTGTACAAAGTCAGTTCGTGACATTTTAAATAAACGGAAAACTCGGAGGTGTGGTGTAAATATGTTGCACACCTGAGCGAGGAGTAAGTGTGAATTTTTAAAAAATCCCACACTTACTTGTACCCTTCAATAAGTGAGATAATAAAATATCGCACATCTAGACAAGAGTATTCACACAACTACAAGTAAAAGTGTATTCACACGTTTTGGTGAGGTAGAAGCCTTTGAAGATGAAGTCTCAGGCGGAGGGCCTTGCAAATTACCTACCTTCAAGTTGTCTCATTTCGGGCACATGGGTGCGGTCGTCGTTGTCGCCCCCTCCCCGACCCGGAAACGCAGAGCCCGCCAGGCTGCCCCGTTGTTTGTACAGTTCAGTTTAGTTTAGTTCTGTTTTACGTCGGGTACAAACCGTGCACACGGCGTGAGCCGCTCATCTGGTACAAAAGTATTAAAGTCCCGGCCCCTTTTCATTGAACTAATGGTGCGCCGTGGCGCCGGAGGCCCGCCCTGTCGCCGCCCCGGCCGCCCCCGGAGGAGGCCCCACGCCCCTGGCCGCCCCCGGCCGCCACCGTGTGGACCGGCCGACGCTCGAGCCGACCTGAGGCCCCCACCCCCGGGTCGTAAATTGGGCTCAGAGTTATCGTTTCCTCACTTTACGACTCGGCTAGCGAAACGGAAAATACTACAGACAGAGGCAAGAGACGGTACAGACCAAGCTTGGAAAAGCAGACAGAAAGGTGGACAGACAAGTATCTACACGGCAGCGTTATGGTCCCACTGTTCCATTCAAAGTCGAAGGATTCTCGTGTCACCAACGTACAATCGGGGCAGTGAAAGTAGGCCAATGAACATCGCTCGTGTGTCGCCATTTTTGCGGCATTTTCGGTTATCAGAATGATGTGAATTCATATGTCTCTCTATTCAAACAAGAAAAGTGACTCCAAACCTGAAAGACAGTGTTCATTTCCGTGGGCGGCTGCAGCACTGCAGAAGACAAACAGCGGCCGATGCGACCAGTAGTGGGAGCAGCAAGGAGCACGTTGACCAGACATAGCGCAAGGACTCAGCACGAGGCTGGTGAGTTAGAAGCATGGGACAGGGGAGCGCGTCGCGTACGTACGTATAGGTTAGGGAGGTTAGGAGACCAGCTGATGGCGCGTGGCCTACGCGTGGCTTCTGACTGTCGAGACTGACACTGACGGGACGGGTCAGGTCTGCCAGCGGTGGAGGGGGCGGGTGCGGGTGTCCGCAGGTGTAGCGCATCTAACGATCCAAAAAAGTAGATTTGACGATTCCAAAAACACGGAGGGAGAAAAATGGCGGGTTGAACATGAAGGTTCCTAGTTGGCCGAGCGCCTACCCCCACTACCGGCGCGACGTAGAGGCGGGAAGCTCTCGACCAATCGGTAACGTTTACGTTCTACCCGCTGTTCTTCTTCCACCGTTAGTCGAAATACACTATTGGACAAAAGATATACGTACTTTGATTTCCGATTGTGATTGTGATTCAATGGCAAAGGACCGGCAAGACGAAGGCCCCACTACTCCTGAAATTATCTGTACACTTTCCCTGAAGCCCTCTCAAAATCATCGGAGATCAATAACATTAATTAATGGAATATAAAATCGTGCGTAATGTGGGCCGGGACTTCGTAAAGTGTCGCCCTGCCGGACCACACCCGCGTGTCGTGCCATACGTCCGGGTGCACGGCCCGTGTACTCACTAAAAGAAAATTACAGGTGAACATTTTAGCGACTGCCTAGCATACCTCGTTCTCTGCAGCGCCAGTTCGTATTCTTTATACAGCCAAATATGTGGGTCGATCACCCGTCCTGATAGGTCTAAGTTGGTGAGAACGTAAAAGTTAGGATATTATTCTTTAGCTCCGCTTCCCATTGCCGCATCAGTTACTTACACAAAACACGTCCAGCAAAAACCGGCCCCCTCCTAAAAATTCTAATTTCATGATCAAAGAATATGTGCCGAATCACAAATCAAATTCCCCGCGAAAAGAGGGGAGCGTAAGGCGAGGGGAGGGGCAGGGGAGGGGGAGCAAGGGGGTGGGAGAGAACCAAAATATAAAAACAGAAACGGGGAAGTGTGTGAGCGGGCACGTATGATGTGGTCGGCTCCGCCCCGGCCAAATCTGCGCGCAGCACTCCGGTGCCACAAAGGCACTCCTCCGGGGCTGGCCACGGCGACAGCGTCACTCACCCCGCCCCGCCCCACCCACCTCCCCTTACCACACGCCCCACCATCACGCCTCGACACGGCCGGACCAGGAGGGGTTACGCATGTGCGAGAAAAATTGCGTATTCTCTCTGGGCGGTTTTCTCTGCGCTGCGCGCCGGCCATCAGGAAGGATCCTGCAGGGCGGGGCGGGGTAAGGCGGGGCTGGGTGAGGCCCCCGCGGGGGTCAGCACCCCGCCGGGCCCCCCGCGGGAGGCCTGCGTGTCCTGGCCGTGGGGCGGCCGCGGGGGGCCGCGCGAGGCTAGACTGCCTGCCGAGGCTGCGGAGCGAGAGGTGCGCGAGAAGAAACCAAATGAAAAGTGGCGGAAAGGGGTCGAGGGGTGAAGTCTCTCTCGGCGCGGCCGCCGTGTGTAACAACCGCGTTAACAAACGTGTCACACGTGTTACAGTCTGGCGCTGGGAGGAACACTATTGGTTACACTGGGTCACGCCGCCGCCGCCCCCAAAAGTCGCTGAGTGGGCCTCATGCAGCCGTTTACACCCCTTTCGGGAGAGAAGGAGGGCGGGGTGCGCGGGGAGGGGGGGGGGCATGGTGAGAGGGGGAGCAAGGAGGGGCAGCGTCAGCGGGCACTGTCGGGCAATTCGCTGGGGAAGGACCACTGCAGGAGAGGAGAGAGGGGGGGATGGGGAGGGAAGGGAGGAGAGAACAGACACCCCTTTCCTTCTGGAGCCGTGTATACCAGCGAGCCAAAGCGCATTTTATAACGAAAGTAACCCTCTCATGACGGACGTTGTTTGCAAGAGAAACACGCCAACCACGACACGACACCCCTGAACCACACGTGGCCTCCAAGAGCACACACCCCTGCACGACGCGGGCGGGCTCTTCTCCGGCCGGCGCTCTGCTCGCATAACCGCAACCGCGACAGCGGCCTCCGCCCTGCTCCATCCCCGCCCGCCCCCGCCCGCCCCCGGACCAGTGGGCTGTGTTGTTGCTCGATGTCCTCCCCCCTCGCCCTCCGCCGAACCGCCCTCTCCGGAAACCTGGAACGATCCCTGCTCGCGCGCCGGATCTTCTGGCTTGAGCAGCAGTCAGACGAGCCGACCCTACCAAACGACTGGAAAGCCACCGTAAGGTACGTTTCACACCACGGAATCTAGGCATAAAACGGCCCGACCGAGAGAGCAGCGTTTGTGCTCCGTGACCATCATATCATAAGAATATTTGAACTCACCCTGTGAGCAACGGAATATCAGACCGATAGCAAAACGATGCCAGACATCAGAAATTTGTCGGTTTTTGCATCAGATTGATAAAAATATGGTCTTGAAATTGACTTGTTTCTGATAACTGATATCGTTCTGACATCAGTCTGACATTTCATTGCCCACTTGGCAGTTCTCGTATTCTTATTTGTTTTAGGTTACCATCTCAGCCAGCATCCGTTTTATTTCTGATAAAGAAATCAGACCAGATTCCCGATTATGGGACGTATAAATATCGGCCGGAGGGGATCCCGCTTGCATTTCGACCACCGCATACACCACTTCCCTGATGAAATCTATTGTTGCAGCCTACAAATTCTTCCGAGGTATTTTTTTTTCTTTTTCGGCTATTTCGGTTGGATCTGCGCTCACCCGCAGCGTATCACATTCGCCTCCACCGCCTCTCCCCTCCGCCTCCCCCTTCCTGTAATCCGCAGGGGGTTTTATGGCCCCGCTGTAGGTCAATGCGTGTGCTCTGCAGGGCGACAGATTCACCCATCTCTCTCTCTCTCTCT